CTTTGAATTTCTGATAACTGTTATTCACATATATAACATCCGGTAGAATTCAGTTTTACACTAAACCGACGACTAAACCATCACGTAATCTAAAATAGATGATTTATCAATTGAATATAAACATAAATTATTTTTTATATAAAAAGAAAAAGAAAAAACAGACAACTATATACAAATAAATAAAGAAACTAACGAGACTAATAATTATTTTGGCCTTTGAGAGGCGAGTCCCCTTCTCTCCCAATAACCCTAGCCGCCGTCAATCTCCTCTCCCGATCTCCCTTTCCGGTGTGCGGTGGTTCTCACCTCCGCCGGAAAAGGGACTCCCATGGTGTCTTTGTCTTCTTCGGCTACTTGTTTCGAAGATTGAAGGTGGAATTGAGCTAGAGTTTTAGATCTGCCCCGCCGTGGGTCTTCCTCGCCGGCTGCATCCGGTCACTTTGGGTCTGCTCGCCGCGTCATCTCTCGCTCTGGCTGATGCTTTCGACGGTGTCCCAGGGTCGTGAGTGTGTTGGTTGCTCCCTGAAGCTCTGGTTTGCTCGCGGTTGTGGCTCGATTTCAGGGCACCTCTCGTCCTTTGGTGTGAATCGACTGGTTGGTGGTTGGTCGTGTCGGGTGTGTCTTGGATTTGTGGCTCAATGTCAAGAATGGCTGTCAGATCTAAGGTAACTCTCTCCGCTTCTTCTCCTCATCGGTTGTCTCACAGGTTAGAGGATTTGTGTCTTGCCGCGGCTGGGTTTTTTGCTCTTGCTAGGCCTCTACCTCTTCGATTCAGGTTTATGTTTCCTCAATTATGTTTCGTCTAGGCTTAATTGAGTGCTTCTGGATTCGTCTGGACTGTCGATGTGTTGTGGTGGTCGTTCTCGTGTTTGAGGCCCTCTGGATTTCTTCCTTCTCCTCTTTGTTTCTCTTGGGTCTCACACTCGGGTTTGGTGGATCTTTGGGATCACGGTTTCACAGCGAAGGGCTTTTTCTTCTCTTCCCCTGCCTGGACGTTTGAAATTGCTTGGTGTTCCACTTCTCCGACCTCAGCCTTGCCGTTTGGATCTATTTCCGGCTTGTTCTCTGTTGAGTCTCTGTTTGTTCTAGGTTACACATGTTTGTGCTATTGATTGTGCTTTGTGTTGCTTGAGGTGTGTGGTGTTTGCGGTTTTGGAGCTGGTATTTGTCTCGGATTTCTTGGTTTTGTGTTAGTGGCCGTGCTCGTACTAGGTTCGGAGGACTTGAGTAGTAGTGTCCAATTGCAGTCTCTCTTTGACTCGGTAATTCCCGGCAATGATTGGTTGCCGTGTTTGGTTAGAGTGTTTGGCTCGCCTTCTCTCTTCCTTTTGCCGCCGATCTCTTGTCTTTGAGTGTTTGCTGCTCACTATCTTCTTGGGGAATCAAGATGCTATCCACTCCTTTCCAGTGACGTATCCTTTTAGTATCCTTTGCATCATTCGTAGTTTTTTTGTATTGCCTAATTCTTAAGAGTTGTTCTTATGTTTTATACCATGTTGTAATCGATCCCTCTGCTTTTCAATAGAATACCTTTTATCA